AAAGGAGGAGGCTACAATGCTTGATAAGAAATGTACTCATTATCTTGCCCATGTAATTGTAACCCCTCTGTACAGTATTTTCACAATTAAACAAAAGATTCAGCTTCTTATCTGAAAGTGGTAGTATATACCTAATAATTCCCACACTCAGGAGCTAGAGGCAGGAGGATTGAGAATTCAAGGCCAGCTTGAGCCATATTATGAGACTGTTACAGGATGAGGGGTGACGTCAACTTCTCAGTGTCAACACAAAATCGCAGGAGGTCCACAAAAAAAAAAGGCATTTCAAAGAATCTTGCAAAAAAGGAGAATTTTACCCAGTGCTCATGGCTCATGCCTGTAATCCTAGCTACTCAGGAAGCTGAGATCTGAGGATCGAGGTTCAAAGCCAGCCCAGGCAGGAAGTCTGTGAGACTCTTATCTCCTATGAACCACCAAAAGTTCTGAAATGGAGCTATGGCTCAAATGGTAGAGCACTAGTCTTGAACAAAAAAAGCTCAGGGATAGCACCAAGGCCCTGAGTTCAAGCCACAGGACACACACACACACACACACACACACACACACACATGACAAAGGATGAACCAGTAGAACAGTGAACTTTAGAACTGGGAGAAAATGAGGGAGAGGGTAACACAGTTCAAAAAGAAACGTACTCATTGCCTTACGTATGTAACTGTAACCCTTCTGCACGTCACCTTCTATAAAACAAATTTAAATTAAAACAAAAAGGAGGAATTCATAAGATGTGAGCTTTAGCAAGTATTTTAGAATAACAGGAATAGGATAATGTTGGGAGAAATACAAAAAGGGGAAAAGAAACATTTTCTGCTCCCTAGGCAGAAAGTGGGAATGAACACTCAAAATGGTGGGTCTTATTTTCTGAGCTGGGGGAAGAAGGGACAACCACCCCTACGCATTAGAGACAGTGGTTCTGAGTAGCCTAACGTGGCCAAATCAGGTGCTGTTCGTGACTGTAGAAGATGTGATGCAAGTCTACCCAATCACAGGGGCAACAGATGAGTTTCAGTTCTTCTCTGTCCACTTGTAACAAGTTGGCAGGCTTCCTAGCACTGGTCAAAGGAGAAGGCAATTTAACATCCTCACATGTAAAAGGAGGTGAGGAGCCTGTAGGCTTGCTATACTAGTTTTCTAGTTTACTTCCAGATTCTGTTTTCTAAGTCTGGCCCTTCTAATACTTATTATCTTTAATTTCCCTGTTGATTCATCAATCCTGCCTCAAGACCTTGTCTCTAAAGAAAACAAACCAGCTTTTTGCTCAGAATTCTAACACTAATATCTGAGGATTTAAAAGATGCTCTGATGTTCATTTCCTAGAGTAATATGGAAGTTGTGTGACAAAGATGAAGTGGAGGTTACTGTTGGACCAACGTTAAAACCCCCAGAGGCTGAGTGTCTGTGAGATCCGCTCTTCCCCTGGGCCTCTGTTTACTCCTCTGTAAATTGAGAATGTACACACATCTTATTTCCCAGTATTTCTGTAAAGAATATATATTAGGTCATACTTTAGAGACCTTTAGGATGGCATTTTAGTGCTAACAAGCATCAGCTATCTCTACAATTACTTGATATGGGACGGACTGAAGTTCATAAGCTTGGCTATGGCTATTGGCCCAATTAATGACAGAACTCAGATTTCAATCCGTGTCTTCCTGCTCTGTTCTAGGTACTCAATAAAACAGTTCCGGGCCTCATGGTGAGCCACAGCAAGAGGATGGAATTTGCATAGTGGAGGTGGGAAAGGGACTTTCAATTAGATCTTGATTGGATCCATGTCAGGGTCCTATAGTCCTAAATTCTTAGATTCTAGAAAGACTGTTTAGAATACCTGCTCTTCCCTTAGCCAAAGTCCTCTAAATGCAAGTGGACCTCAACTTGGACACTTGTGCTTAGCCCAGCAGGTCTGTTAGTATTCAGCAATAGATTGACTCCAAGTCAAGCAGTGTACAGCATCTCTCTTAAAGCAAGGGAGGAGGGGAATCCCCCATTCATTGTCTTAGAAGATTCTCAGCAAATTGACTTATTTAAAGAAAACTTGGGAGCTGATAGGCCTCATTCAAATGGAATGTGATGGCTCAGAAGCTCGGATCAAAGGAATTTATGGCTCCCACCAGATCCTTCTCCACTGAGTTTATCTTGCTTTAATAAATGCTGTCATGTTATATACACAATTTGCTGTTCCACATCACAAGATCTGATGCCTGAGATTCAGACATGGCAACGCTCTCTTGGCTGCGCAAAACCAAACAAACTAGCTTTCCCTAACAACCAAAGCTTTAAGTGGGTGGCTTAACTCTCTCCTGGCTGGTGAGGTCTGTGCACAAATCCCACCCTCTCTGCAGAGCTGTGGATTCATCTAACCTTTAGACGTTCCTGAGAAGCCACACAAGAATCAAATTCTCATTAGTAAAGGAGCCACATCAGATGAGAATCTTGAACCAGCTATGAATTGCAGGAAGTCCTGGAGGGTTTGAGACCTCGGCACTCAGTACCAAGGTCTTCTCAAAACATTCTTCAGTCCTTGACTGCGTAGATTTTTCAGGCCAATGCCTCTATCTGGAAAAGTCTCTTCAAGTACAGGCTCCAACATGCTCCATGAAACAGTCAAAAGGTCTCCAGTGAACATGAATCTTCAGGGTATTTTGCTCTTTGTTCCTTGTCCCTTGTGCTTCCTTCTCTTCTCCATATTCTGGGCGCTCTAAGGTCACCAGTATGAATTCTATCAATGCCTTCCACCTTTGAGCGAATTATAGAAATGGAAGGTACCAGCTGGCTATGGAAGGGAAGCACTGGGCAGGTGAAAGTCAAGACACTTGCATTCCCATACCAGCTGCACAGCATATCTGTGGGCTGATAACCTCCCTCAGGAGACTCATTGGTGTCACAAAAACTCTCGCTAGGGTGTAGATAGCTCCTTCTCTCACTTGCCCCTTCAGGTCTAAGAGGTAGTCACATCCCCAGGCTTACAGAATTATACTGGCCCTTCCTCCACGCTGCCCACACCTCACCCATTGTATTTCTATCTTGGGTCCCGCTCCCTGTTGTGGCCATTGGTCTACTTTCAATGCCTTCCCAGAATCCAAACTCCCGTGGAGTTTTCAACAATTTCCACCATGGAGATTATGGGAGAAAATACTCCTTCTTCTTTCCCATGGTGGCCATGGCATGGCCTATAACTCAGGCTTTACCAACTGGACAGTCATGGAGGCACTTTGACTAAGGAACACAAGTCAGTGAGCTTCCTAAATTGGCTTCCCTACAGTGTCTAGCAATGAGACTATGTTACCTACTAGAGGCTTGGTGAGCCCCATCCACTGGAAGGGCCATGAATGCTCAATCCACTTTGCTGAGATGAAGGTGAAATCCAAAGTGACTTCAAGATCTCAAAGGCAGCTACAAACTACAGACTTCCTCTGTGAGAGATGGCCATGCTCAGCAGGCCACGAAGGCACACTAGTGCATGGCTCCTGCCACTTAGCCTCTTTTGTTTCCTGAGAGTTATCAAGCCTCCTCCTCCAAACTTCCAGTCAATGTTATGAGCTTCCTGAGATCCTTCCAGTAAACGCCTTTTCTGGGATAATGCACGGGAGGGGGGGGCAGGGTGCAGAGATGAGGTGCCCAGTATTGTTTGCTTGCTATGCCAGTCCTGGGATTTAAACTCAGGGACTGGGCATTGTCCCTGAGCTTTTTTGCTCAAGTGCTCTACCACTTGAGCCACAGCCCTACTTCTAGCTTTTGGTAGTTAACTGGAGATAAGAGTCTCACTGATTTTCCTGCCCTGGCTGGCTTTAAAGCACAATCCTCAATCCTCAGCTCTCAGACTTCGCTTGATTTGTGTCACACATATTTGCTGAGCACCTCCTACAAGGAAGGGATTCATGAGTTATAAAACAGAAAAAGATCCCCTGCCCTTATGGAACTGACCTTCTAAGAAGAAACACTAAGTGTTAACATGGGAGCATATGAAGGAGCTAGGATTATAAGCGTGAGCTACTGATGCCTGGCTGCAGTTTGTTGTTGTTTTTTAAATATGATCTTTAAGAAGTTGTATAAAGGAGTTTCTGTTTAACAAAGCAGTTTATAAATACAATATATCTTGATCAATGTCACCCCCTGCAACATTCTCACCATCCCTCCCTTACCCACTCCTCCTCACCCTTTTGAATTTTGTAGAATATACATTGGATTCTTGACTCCATTCTCCCCTCTTAATTCCTCTACTCCCTTCCCCTTAACCCCCGCTCCACTCCTTTCAATTACCTGCTTCCTGGTATTTTATGTTGCTGAACTTTGATTTTGCCTTTCTAAGGAATTACACTATTTGACATCTCCCTTGAATCTATTTTAATATGTCAGGTAATTCATGTGTATACACAGTATTGGGTTTTCAATAAGAAAGAGAAATGAGCATCTTGGAAGGAGAAGCCCAATCAGCCTCATCCCCAGGAGTCCCAGGAATCTTTGTGATTGGTGTGGTGGGAAGGAAAATGATGTGGGACTCCAAGATGAACAAGATGGTGGAAGGTAAGGTGGTAAATGGAGTTCTAGATCACGGTAGCCAAACGCTTTGACTTATATTCTCCTTCCCCCGGCCCAGAAGACCCTCACTCTTACTGACTCTCCTATACCTGCACTATGCTTGGAACTTTGAATACTTGAACTCATTTGATGATCACAGTCACCTAAAGACAGGAAGGATCAGTCCATTTCTCATAAGAAACTAAGGTTCCAAGGAGTCAGGTGATATGATACAGATGATATCATACCAAGATTTACAGCTAAGTTGCCTGCGTCAAAATTCCAAGTCCATTGCAGTGCAGCTGTCTTATTCATTTCACCAAACAAAATCCACACTATATTGAGAACTTTGCTTGATTTGTGTCACACATATTTGCTAAGCACCTCCTACAAGGAAGGGATTCATGAGTTATAAAACAGAAAAAGATCCCCTGCCCTTATGGAACTGACCTTCTAACAAGAAACACTAAGTGTTAATATAGGAACATATGAACTGCCATATTAAAAGTCCTGAGTGCTACAAGGAAAGGAACAAGTAGAGTCAGATAAGGGCAAGAGTACCAGGGCAGGAGGTAGAATCAGGGAGGATCCCTGGAGGTGACTGTACTTAGCATGTGTTCAAGAAAAGGCTATGTTGAAGGGTAAAGATGGAGGAGGGAGCGGCCTTAAAGGCTCTGTGATTGCTAATGCAGCTGTGAATTTCTGGAGAGTCTGAGAGTAGCTGGCACCATCAGCACTGGTCAGTAGAAAGCCAAGGGTGTGGCCCATCCACCTGTCCTCAGGGAAATGTCTCCAAGTTTGCACTGGTGTTTTATATTACTGGCCAGCAGGGGGCTCACTCTCCTGAGCCTCCTGCTTCCCCAAACCACCCCACCCAGGAATAAACACTCTAAAGGCATTTTTGAGATTCAATTCAAACCCAACAGGCTAGAGAAAAAGAAATCAATATCTTACAGTACACACACACACACACATGTAAAAAATAAGTAGCTTCCAAAAAAAAAAAAGTAGCTTCCACACTGGCCCAGAACATTCCTAACTACAGGTTAAGAAACTGAGTTTCTGAACAGTGAAATGACTTCCCTGAACCTTACTTAGCCTGGAAATGCCAGAGCTGAGCATTTAAGGCCCCTTAGGCCTCAGAGCCTTGAGGAACGCCCATGGTGTGTTAATTCCCCTAGCTCACTCTTCCATTCTGGATCTTGGCATCCCCTGCCATTCATTTTCTCTATGGCACTTTATACTTTTCAGAGCAAGTGTAAGCCAGAATCATAGCCTTCTTTGTAACCATCTTTCTTCTAGTTCAGCATACATATCTAATTTTTTTTCTATTACTGAGCCACCTTTACTGGTCCTTTAATTTTTCTGTGTATCCCTACAAATGAGAATGATGTCTATTTACCTTGCTGACAGTGTGATAATTAAAAGCAGAAAATGGACAGTACTTGGTCTGGAGAAAATGCTTCCCATGTAGGTATCCTTCCCCAAGTATTGGAAGACTGAGCAGCTTGGTTAATGGCATAAGCTAAATTACTTAACTAACCAGTAGGTGGCAGCCTCTCCCCACCATAGAAGGCCACTGACTGTAGAGTGCTCCGGATGGATATGTTGATGGGGACCTGGCTCAGGGCTCACAGACACCTTCGGAGAGGCAACTTCTTCACATTCACACTAATCCTCTCCATGGTTGGAAATTAAGAAGCAATACAGCAGGCCACTATTATGCTCTTGTTTCCTCGTCTGCTGCACCAAATCTCCTGCGGACGACCCCAAACCCTCCTGCTGTCATCTTGCACATATAATCTAGGAGAGGGGACAGGAATGAAACACAGGGAGGAAGTGTTTCTGGTCAGTCTCCATTCCGGTTCAGCAAAGCTCCATCCTTCAACCTGTTTAAAGGCTCTTTTGTAGCCACACCCTGCTGCTAGTTTACTCTGATTTGCTAATCCCTTCTTGGTGGTGAAGGCAAAGTGTATCTACATCTATTATCCTGTGCTTGTTCCTGTGGGATCTGTCTCTGGGCCCTCAGCCATGAGGCTTCTGCCTCCCCCTGCTCTCGGCTTGCCGTGGAGTGAGACACAGAGGGAAATGTGGATTTGCTCCCATGTCCTCGCTCTTCCTTTTGTTGCTTACTTTCTCTGCATCTGGAAAGCCTGGGTTAGATGTTGATCCCGGTGGATTACCCCGAGCATTCTGAGCCACATGAAGAATGAAGTCAAGGCCTCTGAGTCCTCCATGCCTGCCTCTGAGAGCCATCCAACATCAAAGTGCCAGGGAGGGTCATCTCTATGTCTTAGCTCTCTGTTCCTCACACCCTCCTGGTTGCCTCTGGCAACTCAATTCAACTTCACCTCATCATGAGGATCTGGGTAATTGTTCCCTGTCTACTCTACTCTGTCCTTCAACCCAACAAGCCCAGCCACAGCCCAGCCTGGCTGTGGGATACTCTTCCCAAGATGCATGCACTCACATCCTTCAAGCATCTGCCAGTGTCATCATTTCAGTGAGACGGCCCCTTGTCATCTCACACAGCACACACACACACACACACACACACACCTTCCTCCACCCCCAGTGCTCTTCTTTATTTTCTCCACAGCACAGATTACAGCTGTGCTTTTTGGAAACCAAGCTCATGACAACAATGGCTTTCTTCCATTTTCCTCTGCTCTATCTCCATAACCCACAACAGAGTCTATTCTGTCTCTTCCCTGTCATTCATTACCTAGCAATTGAATCTATAAACAGAACCACGGTGGGGAAATGGATCCAAAAATCCTATTGTTTTACATAGTATCTTCTTAATTTCTTGAGTGCTAACTAATTCTATTCTGATACCAGATCATCATTGTACAACTAAAACAGAGACAATGATCTCCCGAAGACACCCCAGAATCAATGTGGATTTGAATTCACTCCCACTCACCCACACCATTACCTCAACAGGAGAGACCAAAGAGCATGGTTTCAAGAAACAGTAGAGTAATTGCTCTATCAAGAACTCCCAGAGACAGCCTCTCCCACCGAGAAGCGGATTGCTCTCCAGTGGACAGGTCCAGCAGGACACTTGAAGCAAATGACATGAATACCAGGCTTCTGTTATCATCTGTCTAACTAGAGCAGCTCATCCAAGAGCTCGCCCTGCACAGACTCTCTGCAGAGGCCCCACTACCCAGGCACACTGAGAACCACCAGTTCCCAAGAACCAGTAGAGAAGTAGGCAAAACTCACTGACCTTTCAAGTTGTTCATCTAAATAGGGAAAGTTACTGAGGGGGGACGGGGAGGGGAGGGAGCTGCTAAGCATGAGAGGAGCAAGCCTAACCAGTCCCAAGCTCACCTGTGCCTCCTGAGGGCCTCCATTCCCCAGGCCCAAATCCAACTCTAACTGCCCCCCTGGGCATTCACATAGCATTTCCACAGATATCGCCCCACTACTAAGGACTTCTAAGCAGCTAGCAGAGGAGAAGAGGAGCAAGCCTCAGGTGTGTGAAAACAAAGTGTAAATCAGAGAAACACACATAGTAGTCCCAGCTCAGCAGAGATGGAGGAGCCATGAGCCACCCAGACACACTAGAGGTGAGCATCAGGGCATCAGGTTTGGACAAGAATCTCTACCCCAAAGCTCAGGAGACAGGTATTCATGCACCTTCAACTCCATACTACTCGTGGGCACCATCAGAGCAGGCTGTAAATCCATGAGAATGTAGACTGTCCTGCTCTGTTCAGCAATGCATCCCCAAAGAAGGCGCTGTCTGTTACTGCAGAGCACTCCACCTGAGAGCCACGCGGTGAAGATGGCGTGGTTAAGGCATGAGGGTGTAAACTGGGGGCAGATAGTTCACTCACAGACCTGGGTTCATTCTATGAATGAGAGAGAGGGGGTGGGGAAGAGAAGGAGGGAGAGGAAGAAGGAAAGAAAGGGGGAGGGGGGATAATAACAATGAAAGGAGTGGCACTGATCAAGATGCATTTGACTTATAAACAGATTTAGTGAAGCTACCTAAAGATAATTTTTTAAAAATTTAAAAAAGAGAAAGAGAGGGAAAAGAAAAAGAAGAGAGAAAGAAAAGAAAGAAGAAAAAAGGCAAGAAAGGATGGGAGAAGGAAGAGGCAGAGGGAGAGGAAATGGAGAGGAGAAAATCAGGGATTTACTTATAATAACTGCCCAGATCCTGGGCAGTTCCAAGAGTTTTGCTCAAAGGCTCCCTCTCCATAAAGATCCTTGGCGTAAGATGTTATGAGCCAGCTCTCTAATCCCAGTCATTCCTTAGCACTTTTTCTTCCCCAGTAAATTGCCAAGGGCAATGCAGTGGAATGTATCTCATAACATATGAACACATGTTTTGAGTACTGTGGCTGGGTTTGCATTTAACAAGACCTCAGGACATGGAATCAGGAAATCGCCTCCCTTCGCAAACAGTGGATGTAGTCAGAAACCACTTTCTAGCATCCCCATCAAGAAAGACGGCAATCAGCTAAATGCATGCTTGTTTCTAGCCCTGGTTCTGTTATAGAAGGGCTGTGTGAGCTTGATTGGGTTTCACAACTTCTCTGATTTTTCCATCTACAAATGAGAAATAGTAATAGCTCATGATTGCAACAAATACAATCATTTATACAGAGTGTCCCAGACAGTGTCTGTCATATTGTCTGACCTCCATAAATGGTATCTCTTCTTATTCTCTACCACCATCTTTCACACAAAGTACCCATCTGACTGGGTCACTACTGGCTGGTCAGTAATATGAACACTCTTAGTTAATTTAGGAGGAAGCACAGACAAGTCAGGTCAAGTGATTTAGGTCACACAGCTGCTTTATGAAGGAGAAAGAGACAGAGAGGGAGAGAAAGAGACAGAGAGAGAGAGAGACAGAGGCAGAGACACAGAAGGAGAGATAGAGAGGAGACAGAGACAGACAGAGAGACTGAGAGCCTGAGAGGCCAATGTAAGCATTAGGCGTATCTCTGTATTTGTCTTTCACTTACATTATGACTTTTACTTTGATCCTTGAGTTTCATGAAGCATAGCAGATCCTCCAGACCGCACATAAAGTTCACACCTTTATTGGCCTGTCATAATAAAGCTGAATATATAGACACAATAAACTGTCCTCAAAGTCATATGTACTTAGGGGAGGTGCGTAATAGATTCCCTCCCACCCTGCCTCCAGACAGTTGATTTCTGAAAACAAGAGTGCATACGATGCTGTGAGCAGGAAAGGACGTCTATGCCATCCAACGTTACACACACTGTCCTTAGCCACAAGGACTAGTAAGAGCAAATTCATCATGGCTCAGACTATGGTAGCATCTCTTCCATCTAGTTCCTTCACTGTGGTCTCTGTTCTCCTTTTCTTCCCAATGAATCCATTTTGCTTTCCCTTAATATAGGAAAAGGTAAATCCTCATGCAAAAAGTTAGAGAGGAAGAAGAATATTAAAATCTTGACACTGTGCATAAGCCAAAGTTATCTAACCCCTCTTCCTCAGATTCACCATTAGGAAATGATGAGGCCCAAACTGGGAGAATGGCTCAACCCTGTAATCCTGGTGGCTTGGGAGGAGGAGAGGAGGAGATTGAGGTTCAAGGCCAGCCTGGGCAAAAGAAGTTCATAAGATTCCATCATGATCATCACCTGGACATGGGGACACACACCTGTCATCCTGTGCTATAGGAAAAGCACAATGGCTGGGTCCTGTGGCATGCACCTGTCAGCTCAGCAACACAGACAAGCACAAACAGGAAGATCAATGTCCAGGCTGGTCATGCATACAGTGGGACTCTATTTCACAAAAAACCAAAGCATAAAGGGGTTAGTAGGGTATCTCAAGTGGCATAGAGTGCCTGTTCTAGCAAGTGCAAGGACCTGATTTCAAATCCCAGTACCACCATCAAACACATAATTCCTGCTACAGTATACTCATCACTGATACATGAAAACTTATTTAATCCTTGCTAAAGGATTAAATAGGTGTGGTGAGTACTATCATAGGAGAACATCACTATCAGAGGGGGAAAAGTGAAGTAAAGAGGAAGTCCCTCCACTTCACGGGGTTAGGATTAAAATGGAAGACTTTGATGTCACATCTTATCGCCTGGGAACTGGGAGGACGGCTAGAAACATACTTAACATGGGGCTGATGGGATTGTGGGTAGACACTGATTGCCATAAAGAGTCCAGTCCAATTGCTTTTTTATTGCAGTCATAGCAAAGATGATTTGTGGCTGTAACTCTATTTGGAGAAGAAAAATGTCCCATAAGGCAAAATGTTAGGCTCCCTAATAATTTCTCTGCCTACAAGACAGGTGGGACATTCTGTAGATACCCCTGCAGAATCGAGATGGTTCCCTACCATGTGGGGAATTTCACAGGGAACATGAGGTCACTGTAAGGGCTGCCAGTAGACTTGGTTCCTCAACTTGCACTGTGTTCAGAGAAGCTGGTGCTGTGGTGCTGATGCGGAGGAGAACTGGCTCTCTACCCACACAGCTCGGAAAGCCAGGGTCAGTGGAAGATGTTGACCCGCCTGTCTGCAGTGCCAACTCTCCTGAACTCCAGCAGGTACTACAGCCTACTCTGAAGTACCTCCAGAATCTGTGTACTTTGGGTCAAGACTAAACAACAAAAACCTTTCTGGTTCCAAGTTTCCCATCACCTTTAGTGTTTGAGGATGGACTACAATCAGATGGCAGGCCATATTCATTTTCATCAAGGGAGATAAGGAAGTGGTCACTTTTCCTCACTTGTAATAGCATCATCCATGTGGTCCCACCCAGGGAATGAGACCCAGGTATAGAGAAGTGTTGTATTGGCCTGAAGAAGTATTGACCACAAGAACAATCTTGTCCATCACAAAAGATCCTCTTCAGCTAGTGGCTCACGCCTATAATCTTAGCTATTCAGGAGGATGAGATCTGTGGATCACGGTTCAAAACCAGCTGGGGCAGAAAGCCTATGAGACTCTTATCTCCAATAAATTACTCAGAAAAAGTGGGAAAAAGTGTTGCTGTAGCTCCAGTGATGGAGCACTAGCCTTGAGCAACAGAAACTCAGGGACAGCACCCAGGCACCCAGATTTCAAGCCCCAGGACCAGCACACACACACACACACACACACACACACACACACACACACACACACACACACACACACACACACACTCCCGTGCAGAAGTAAATCTGGGCCTCTCTGGTCTCTGCCTGAGAGGCTAATCCTGCTGCCTGGTGAGTTATTTTAGTGGCTCCTTCTTTGCTGTTCTGACTGCCCATAGAAATCTTTCTCCTCATCTCCTGATGCCTTTCACTCTACCCTGTGATCATCAATTGAATCCCTCAAATTCCTCCTGTGCTTGCTTCATAACCTGGCATTGGCATCTGTGCCCCTTCTTCCATAATGACCCAGGACACACCTAGCACCAGCCTTGTTTGAAACTGTTGCACAACCAGTCTTGAGGTGTCTGTCAGATTACAAATCATTCTGACCAGGATGCCACAAAAGGATCATAGGAAGAAAATTAAGGAGACATAGACAGGTGTTTTCCAAAAGTCAAGAAGACCATCTCTGAATCCACACGTATAGTGTGATCCAGCACAGTTCCCAAAAGCCTTCTGGGGGGAGGTCAGTTTATAAATGACACATTTTGTGTCCCTATCACATCACATATGGGCACATTCTCCTTTAAGCATGTATCTCTACATTTCTTCTATTTCTCTGTCTCAGGGTTTTCTTTGGAGCCTGGGAACCCACTCAGATGTGAACCAGGTAATTTTTCCATGAGTAACAGACTGAGGATCATCAGTAGTGGAGGAGGGGAGCAGAAGATGAATGCCCCACACACTTGTCCTCTATCAGAAAAATTCAGGGACTTGGCCCACATGCCTCCAGCCCTAGGACTGAGCCATGGTTGCCTAGAGGGAGAATCAACCCAATGCAGTGGCATTTGTCTGCTTTTCTTCCTCCTCTGCCCCATCATGCTTTTCCTCTCTCAACCCTGTGTCTTGGGACCATTCCCCAGGCCTTGGTTCCAGACATTGCGTCAGCCTGACAAGCTAAGGAGGAAGCTCATTGTGGTTGAAGTAGATGAGACTCATGATCATATCCATAATGCCAATACAGGCTGAAGAGTGACCAGCCCGGGGAAGAGCTGTAGGTTTCAGACCTTCCTCACTGCCTGGAGAGTCTCCATTATGGAACTTCCATGAAAACGAAGCAGATAGCACTCTAGATGTGCTGGTAGCAAGGGACATGGAGAAGGGGGCATAGGATTCATCTAGACCAAGGAGAGATGGAGCTTTCAGGCCTCAGCCATGCTGACCAAGGGTCAGGGCAAAAATGGGGACAAGCAGGGAAAGGGCACACTGCTCAGAGAAATAAGGCCAACAGGGAAGCCACAGAATGAAGGTCTGACTAAGCCATTATGCAAGGGCCCCAAACTCATCTCTAGCTCATTGGATATGGCATGAAAACAACCACAGCTTTCCTGCACGCTACCTCTTTAACCATCAAGTCTGCAAAGTAGCTTTCACAATGAGCTCATTTAGACCTCAAAACAATCTAAGTTATTCTCCCCATTTTGTAGATGGAGAAAATGAGTCCAGTAAACGTTAGAAACAAGCGTCAAATGCCATCTTCTGCCAACCACCCTATGAGGGTCACCTTGCTATAGTCAGTCTAGATCTAAGGCCAAAGAGTGACCTTGAAGTGATGAGCTTGATAGGCAGGAGGCAGGGAGAAGTAACCATTGATTTTCAAGGTCAAGTCACACATACAACCCGGTAGCGATACTGAATCCCTGTCCTGACAAGTCACACTATAGCTGTCCTTCCCATTTATGAGAATGTTTCTCTGATTTTTTAAATCTCCCTTTAGAGGAAGAAGGATAAAGAAAAGCATTGTAGGTCAGGGTAGGTAGGATGTTTACCTCCTTGTTGCCATACAGAAAAGAAATCACAACATCCTTATAGGTGTAGAACACATACTCATAAAACATATGGCAGAGTCTGAACTCTGAAGTCTGAATGTAAGGCAGACAAGCTAGCTGGTCCCCATGACAGAGAGGAACCAAGGGTAAAGATACTGAGAGACTGGACAACATGGTAAAAACAGCCATAAGGCATAAAACTAGGCATGCTCAGTCCAAGCTCTGCCTCTAACCCACTGTTGGATCCATGTCCTCCTCTGCCTCTTCCGCTGCAGGCTCTATGTTGAGGAAAGAGGAGTGTGAAGATGAAGAGGCCCTGGCCTGTCTGAACAACTGCAGAGAGCAGATATCAGACCCACCAACAGCACTGGGCCACAATGTGGACAAGTAATACGTGGTTATAGTAGCATGCCCCTAGCCTTAGGAGCTCTTTGTTACAGCATCCTACTCGTGACTAATAAAGTTTCTCTGCAGTCAAGTTTGTTTCCTCCTCTGATGTTAGTCTAAAAGATTCAATCTTTAGTCCTTTCCCTCACTGCCCCTAAAATCAGTGAAAAAGCAGAGCCACGCATCTCCCTATTGCCCAGAAGGCTGATCAACTACCTGGTCTCAAGAAAGCTGATGCTAACCTCAGCTTGATTTTGTGTGAAGCATGTCACTGTAAGCCCAATTCCTCAGTTCCGCTTCTCAAATGAGGCATCTGGCCTCACTGAAACCAAGAAGCTGTTATCGTTTTAGGATTCCAGACTCAGAGCACAAGAATGAAGTACAGGGGTCAAAGAGTCAAACCTGTGGGATCATTAATCGAGGTAATTTCCCCGGACATGGAGGAGGAGCTCTGCCTGCAAGGGAGGAATTGTTGAAACTGATGACATGATTACATACATAAAACCATCATTCTATTTCCACAGTGTAAGCCCCACGGTTTGAGTGGAGAGGCCATGAACTCTGGATTTAGGGAGACCTGTCTTCAAACCTCACTTTTATTTCAGTGCATCTTTGAAGTGTTACCATTAAAAGAGGTGAGTGGAGTCCAAGGAATCCCCTTGGTTCTCACCATGCTGCCGAAAGGGATGAAGGCCGGCAGCAAAAGCAGGAGGAAGCAGAGGGCATCTCATACATTCACATCTCCATTCCTTTATCTTACCATCATGTGTGAGATACGATCAGTACAGAGATGAATGAAACACAGACTTTGACCTCCAGGTACTTGGCCCAGCGAGTGGAGACAAATAGACAAGTTACTGATTCCCTAGTATGATAGACAAATATGAGAAGGTCATCTATTTTATTTCTAGAAGCATAGCATGGTGACATAATGGAAATGGAAACAGACACAGGAGCATCTCCTGAAATTGTGGCTATGCCTTTTAATATTAGGGGGAAAATTAACCATCCATAGATAGGAGAACAAATAAAATGCAATAGAGGAAATACATAGAGTACCTTAACTTGTTGTATCAGAGGCTAAGATTGAGTGGGAAATGCAGTCATCAAATTATATGTACAGTTGAATGCCATGTAATTAAATAAAGTAAAATGGCTGCATGATTTCTGTATATGAGAGTATTTTCAATGGGCTAGGAAAGTCGACATCCTACTCCTGATCCTGTAGTGTCTGAGAGAGGCAGGAGGAAGGAGGGTTCAGGGGTAACGGCTGGTGGGGGGGGAAGAGAACAGCATCTGCTTTGTATCTGCTACTGTCTCATTGACTCGCATAAAGGCTAACAGTATCTATGATAAAAACCCTACCTAGCATTTGTTCATTTGAACACTTTGAAGAATTGGAATGTTATCCTTTGCATTTTCTGTGGTTTTACATTTCTCAACATAGAAATAACTAAAGGTTGGCAAAAGGTTGTCCAAAGAAGCGATGATCCATCCATCGCTGGCAAATTCGGGGAGCCATGGACTGAGAGCAAGTCCAGGGTGCTAGGAGTCAGCCAGGGGATAGAAGCTGAACAATCATGTGGACAAGATCAACACAACTTTGGTGTAATGTTATGAAAATCTACTTCTTTTTAACTACTGGCTCCAACACTTATTAATGTAACATGCTTACAAATGTAACCATTCTTTACCCTTGATATGTGTGAATTGTTTGATTTATCTATGCCGTTTCTGTCACCAGACAAAATATAGATCTAGTTGGAGGCAATAATTTTAAACAGACTTTTAAGGAATTGTTCAGTCTACTCAGAAATTTGAAAATCCAGATTCTAAAATAACGATTTTCTTAGCTGGGTGCTGGTGGCTCAAGCCTGTAAGGAGCCTGAGATCCAGAGGATCACTGCTCAGAGCCAGCATGGTCAGAAATGTCTTTGAGATGTTATCTTCAAAATAACTAGAAAAAAGAAGAGCCTGAGGCATGGCTCAAGTGGATGAACACCAGCAGAGCAAGCAAGCTTAGTATGTAGGCCCTGAGTACAAACCTCAGTACTGCTAGAAAGAAAATACAAGAAAGTAAAAGGAAACGATGATCCTCTGTCTCTATTTCTAATTCCTCTCCAAGACGGCAGCTGGTATTCTGGAGGCCCAATGGCGCAAAGCTTGGTAGACACTGGTGTCCCTGTTCTGCCTAACTGCAGCCTCCCATATTGGTGTTTTAAGCCTGTAACAAGTAGAACTTGAAGTCTTCTGTCTCATGCTCTTTCTGGCTCCCCTTGGCCAATGTCCGGGAATACTCTGGCTAACTCAGTCTCACTGTTCTAGACTTTCCTGAGGTCTATCTGAGGATCCATTCATCCTCGCAACAGACATGTGGCTTCCTCTACAGCCTCTACTACACAACTGCCTTGATCCTCCCCAACCCCACACGCAGCTTCTAGTCCTAGCCAGGGTATACGGGCCCAAGAGGAAAGGGGGACAGCTGAACCTCCTGGCCTCTTTTTCTTAACCAGCACTGCATGTTCTGGGACTTGCAGGTGCTGCCAACAGCCTGGTGCCTCTCTAAGTTTCTTTGATTTACCTAAAACACATACCTTCTTGGTTGAATGTCCAGGCCATGATCAGCTTTAAGAGGGGATGTTGGATAACTCTTCACCTTCCTTCCTTGTTTCCATAAGACTATAGACTGGTGTGATAGTTCATTTAATTAATCAACACAAGCTCCAAAGACATTTTGTCATGTATGTGTCTGGATAAATTGCTATGAAGGTGTATCAGAAGACATCAAATAAAGCAGATTTCTTTCCATAGTGTGGGTTGGCATCATCCCAAATTGAAGACAGTAAGGAAAGTCTCAACACCCCCCAACCACACACACACCAATCCAATAAGGGAAGTGGTAATTCTGTCAGCAGATATCCTTCTGACTCAAGGTAAATTGTGAACTTTTCCCTGGGTTTCCAACCTGCCAGCCCACTCTGCAGATTTGGGACTTGCTACATGGAGCCAGTCCCAAGTCCCATTAAAAACAATTATTTATCTCTGTCTCTGTCTCTGTATCTCATACACACACATATGCACACATAGTGATTCCCTTGCTGGGAATATACATATACATATATACATATATATATATATATATATATATATATTATGTAGTATCTATTGACTATTTCTCTGGAGAGCTTTGACTAACAAAACTTAAGCCAACTTCATGCCTGAGTGGTATACAGAGCTATATATTATGAGTTCAATATGATAAATGGGAAATGCCTTCATTTCCCATTTATAAACCCCTTTTCTTCTCTGTGAGTGCCAATTTACAAGGCTGTGGTCTTACTAAGGAGGTCAAATGCCATTTCTCTAGGACAACAAACTTAAAGGAGATAGGAGACTGTCAGAAAACTATGACTGAAAAGGAGAAACATAAATGTATTGTGGCAATTCAAAGAATTACACTTTGTAATCATGGACAAGTCTTCCTCTATCTCTATGAGAAGAGCTATCCATAGTAACAAGAGATTCCCCTGGTTTCATGAGATTCTAGTTTCCAAAGTTGAACAATTCAGTCAAGTTGCACATAGAAAAGCATTTGTATGCTTCCTGACACATAGAAAGAACACAGTTAATCAAAGGTATTATTATTACCAGTAATAGTTATGCTCAGCTTCGGAGATTTCACAGTGCAGCCATCAAAGTGCCTAATTTAACTGGATCATGAGTATTGGGATGTGAGGTTTCAGTGGGGGGTGATGTGGTCAGAGTTCACAGGCCACAGCTGGGATGATATGGGCATAAAGTAAACTTTAGGTGGACAAGTCTTAGCTGAGTTATAAGATCCAGTTAGGGGTACAGTTGGGACTAACATAGTCAACTTGCTAGAGCAGTGATTTGTGCTCAGTGGTGTCACAGATAAAGAGATAGAGAAAGGACCCCATCTTATGTCCACATGATGTGATTCTCTTTGATCCGTGTGGGAACCCATCTTACCACCAGCTCTGTGGGGTAAGCATCATGGGACTTCACCCATGGAGACTGAGGATGATGGGAAATTCCCCTGGAAGTCCAAAGTGAGCCGATGCCAGACCCTGGACTTTTTTCTGAGCAAACATTTTGAAAGAAACCAAAGTGATGATGATGTGGAAGCGCTAATGGGGCTGTCCCTTTGCACCAAAGAAGGCTGCTGAAAACACAGGGATCAGTACAGATGAATCATTGCCCCTCCTCCTCTCCCTCACAGCATTTGTTGGTGGCAACCCAATAAATACCGCATCCCCAAAGTGCTGACAGCTTGCAAGTAGTTATAGAAATGGGTGGGAGGAGAAAGCGGGGTGTGGAGACATGGGGGTGTATCCCCCTTCGAGAATTCATGTTCCTCCCTTTATATAATGTCCTGCTCTTTCATAAGAGTGGGTGATTCTAGAATCTAGATGAATGGTGCTTGCCATCCTAACCTTCTTCCCTTCCTTTTTCATACCTTAGCCTCAATCTTATGATAGCTTGGAAAAAATAGTGTCATTGGGAGAAACTGGATAAAAGGCACACAGATGTACTGTATTGGTGCTTTAAAAAGCATGGGTTTATTGAGAAGTAGCAAATCCAGTATTTCAGATTGGCTCTTAGGTACCCATCACCACCAATTCCAGAAAATTTTCATGATCTTGTAAAGGAAGTTCACACCTTGTAGCCAATACATCTCCTGAACCCTAATCTATTTTCTGTCTCTACTGATTTGCCAGCTTTGGACATTCCATGTAAGTGGAATTATAAAACATGTGGTCCTTACTTTTACTTAATATTCATTTACTTAATATTCTTTTATTTAATATTCATTATAAAATGCACCAATGCATTTCTTTTAATTGCTAAATAATAGTGGACAGTCAGAATAGACATTTCACCCATTTATCACTTGGACATGTAAAAATTTGTATTTAGAGGCTATTATGGATAATGCTACTATAAATCTTCACAAGTATTTGTGTGGACATATGTTTTCAAATGCTCTCGAGTATATTACCAAGAGTGGAGTTTTTAAATCATATTATAACTCTGTCCACAAATGCCATACTGGTTTCCAAAACATCTGCCCTGTCTTACATCCCTACCATCAGTGTATGAGTTTCCAATTTGTCCATGTCTTCATCACCAATTGTTCTTCCTTATCTTTTTTATTATAGCCATCATAATGGGTATCAAGTGGCATCATATTGGTTTTAATTTGCATTTCTCTCATGACTAGTGAGGTTGGGCATCTTCTATGCGTATTGGCCATTTGTGTCTTGTGTGGGAGAAATGTCTATTCAAATCCTCGCCCACTTTAAAAATTATATTAGTCATCTTTTTGTTATTGATCTCTATTATTTCTTATAATTGCTGGTAAGCCCAGAATTATCTCAATAAGAAATTCAATTTTCATTTCCAAAGGCTATAAAAGAGAAACCGAGGGGAAAAAACCAGTATCATTTCACTAAAGATTATACACAGATGACAACTAAGCACATGAAAAAATTCTCAACATCACTATCCATTGGGAAAATGTAAATTAATCGACAATTATATAGAACCAGGCTCTCAAAGTGACTAAAGAAGAATTAACAAAAATAAAATACAAAAGATGGTAAGGACGCAGAGAAACTAGGTCACTTGTACCTTGCTGGAGGGGGAAGTATAAAAATAGAACTACTTTGTAAAATAGCCTATCAGTTTCACATGTCACTAATCATGCAACTGCTATGATTACATCCACAAAGACCGCACAATTGTGTCCACACAAAACCAT